ACCCCCACCCGCTCCCCGGGCCCCGGCCCGAGGCCTCTCCCCACTCCCTGACTCTCGGCCTCCCGTCCTCACCCCTCGCCCTCGGTGGCCTCCCCCGACTCTCCGCCCCCGGGCCTCACGCCCCAGCCCCCGTCACGCACGCCGCCGACTCCGTGAGCTTCTGTCCGGCACCCGCACTCTTAAACTTGATGTCAGCCTTGATCTCCTGGAAGAATTTCTTCATGGTGGCGGCAGGCTCCGCGGCGCGGGGCCGCGGGGGGGCGGGGGGCGCGGGGCCCGGTGGAGTTCGTAGCAGCCAACAACCGGAAAAAAAAAAATAGGCGCTTCCGGAAGTCCCGCCCACGTGACAATCGGCCCGGCACGCCTTTCTAGATTTCCTCGCTTCACGACCCAGCGGGGACCGCTCTGCACTCTCGGGCTGCGTCTCTGTGGTTTTTCCGGAGTCTGTTGCCAGGGGCGACGAGCGCGCTTCTAGCTGCAGGCTGTGCTTGGGCACCTTCTACCGCGTTCCCCGTGGAGAGGAGGGACAGGCCGACTTGGCCCCACGGAAGCAGCGCTGGCCCTGCTCAGAAACCAGCGATTATGTGATAAAGTCCCAATTCAATTGTGGGCGCATTCTAGGCCCCCCAACCCAGCCCCGTGGTCACCCCCAGTATCTCGCCATCCCCCCTTAACCTTCCTGGGCTTCAGTTTCCCAGCTATGAAATGGGGATAAGAGTGGCAGCCATTGCCGAGGCCGGTTTGGCTCAGTGGATAGAGCGTCGGCCTGTGGACTGAGGGGTCCCGGGTTCGATTCCGGTCAAGGGCATGTACCTGGGTTGTGGGCACATCCCCAGTGGGAGATGTGCAGGAGGCAGCTGATCGATGTTTCTCTCTCATCGATGTTTCTAACTCTCTATCTCTCTCCCTTCCTCTCTGTGAAAAATCAATAAAATATATTAAAAAAAAAAAAAAAAAAAAGAGTGGCAGCCATAACCGGTTTGGCTCAGTGGATAGAGCGTCGGCCTGCGGACTGAAGGGTCCCAGGTTCGATTCCGGTCAAGGGCATGTACTGTGGTTGCGGGCACATCCCCAGTGGGGCGTGTGCAGGAGGCAGCTGATCGATGTTTCTCTCTCATCGATGTTTCTGACTCTCTGTTCCTCTCCCTTCCTCTCTGTAAAAAATCAATAAAATACATTAAAAAAAAAAAAAAAAGAATGGCACCCGCTTCCTAGGAGGATTGTAAGCACGATAATGCAATTGCAAGGCTCAATAAGTGGCAGGCTTTATATTTTACCCCTTTAATATTTCTTGAGAATCGGCAATGTGTCAGCAATGAGAAAAACAGACAAAATTCTCTGACCTCGCAGAGCTCCTGTTTTTTTTCGATGGGATTGGGTAGGGACAGACAATATGATAAAATCTGTGGTATGGTAGATGTTATGCACTATGGGGAAAAAAGTGGAAAACAGGAATAGAGGAGGGCAGAGTGGGGGCAGTTTGCAACATCAAATAAGAGGGTCAGGCACAGGAAAAGGACAGTTTTGAGGCCAGCACTGCCCAACTGTCCTGGTTCAGTGGTTGAGCTTCGACCTATGACCCAGGAGGTCACTGTTGGATTTCTGGTCAGGGTGCATGCAGGGGTTGCAGGCTCGATCCCCAGTGGGGGGCCTGTAGGAGGCAGCCAATCAAAGATTCTCCTTTGGCCGAAATCAGTTTGGCTCAGTGGGTAGAGCGTCGGCCTGCGGACTGAAAGGTCCCAGGTTCGATTCCAGTCAAGGGCATGTACCTGGGTTGCGGGCATATCCTCAGTAGGAGATGTGCAGGAGGCAGCTGATCGATGTTTCTAACTCTCTATCTCTCTCCCTTCCTCTCTGTAAAAAATCAATAAAATATATTTTTTAAAAAAAGATTCTCCTTTGTCATTGATGTTTCTATCTCTCCCTTCCTCTCTGAAATCAATAAAAATATTTTTTAAAGAAAATTCCTTATCCTTAAGAGAGAGAGAGAGACACCACCACTGACATTTGAATGTGTCTGAACATTAGATGATATAAAGGAACTATGTACTGTTAATTTTGCTAAGGGTAATAAGGTCATGGTAGTTATGTTTAAGTATATTTTTGTAAGAGATGTAGTCTGAGGTATTTATGGGTGAAATGACATCTGAGATATGCTTTTAAATACTCCAGCAAAAAAATTATACAAGTGTACTCACACATACACATACTTTAGGTAGGAATTATCATGGCTGTATTTCTTCCAAGTGGTAGAATATGAGAGCAGTCATTCCCCAAACATTAACTGAGCACCTACTGTGTGTCAGGCCAGTAGAGTCATAGCAGGGAACAAGACAGGCAAGATCCTGCTTTTGAGGGGCTAACAGTCAAACGGAGACACAGCTATTAAACAAGTATATGGCACCAGATAGTGCTCACTTCTATTAAGAAAAATACAGTAGGAGAAAGGAATCAAGAGTTACCGGAGTCCTGTTTTAGATAGGCTAGTAAGGTCTGACATTTGAATAGGAACTCCTGAAAGAGACAAGGGACCAAACTACAGGTATATCTAGAGATCATTCCTGGCCGAAGGAAGAGCGAAGGGTCCTGAGATGACAGCTTCTTCAGGGAACATGGTGTCTGGAGTAGGGTGAGTGAAGGGTCTGAGAGTAGATTCTCTGCTAAAATCAAATAATGTGTGGTATGATCATCCCCTCTATAGAATATTCTATAACCACCAGAAATTGTGACTATGGGAACTAAACAGCAGCAGTGATTATAGTAATTGCTGCATAACCAATTATCTCCCAATTTATAATAACAACATCTCATAATTTCTGTGCATCAGGACTTAGGAGTGGCTTAGCTGGGTGGTTCAGGCTCAAGACTCTCATGATGTTGCAGTCAAGCTGTTGGCTGGGGTTACAATTTCACCTAAAGCAGTGGTTCTCAACCTTCTGGCCCTTTAAATACAGTTCCTCATGTTGTGACCCAACCACAAAATTATTTTCGTTGCTACTTCATAACTGTAATGTTGCTACTGTTATGAATCATAATGTAAGTATCTGATGTGCAGGATGGTCTTAGGCAACCCCTGTGAAAGGGTCGCTCGACCCCCAAAGGGGTCGCAACCCACAGGTTGAGAACCGCTGATTAAAGGCTTGTCTGAGGGAGAGTCTACTTCAAAGCTCACTCAAATGGTTGTTGGCAGGCCCCAGTTCCTTGCTGGATTTTTTTTTTTTTTTAATCCTCATCCAAGGATATTTTTTCCATTGATTTTTTTTATTTTTTTTTAAATATATTTCTTTATTGGTTTCAGAGAGGAAGGGAGAAGGAGAGAGAAATAGAAACATCAATGATGAGAGAGAATCATTGATCGGCTGCCTCCTGCACACCCCCACTGGGGATTGAGCCCGAAACCCAGGCATGTGCCCTTGGCCAGAATCGAACCTGGGACCCTTCAGTCCGCAGGCCGACGCTCTATCCACTGAGTCAAGCTGGCCAGGGCTCCACTGATTTTTAGAGAGAGTGAAATTGAGGAAGGAAGGGGAGAGAGAGAGGAGAAACATCGATGTGAGAGAGACACATCGATTGGTTGCTTCCCGCTCATACCCCAAGACTGGGGTAGGGATCAAACCTGAAATGCAGGTACCTGCCCTCAACCAGAAATTGAACTCATGACCTTCCCGTGCACAGGCAGACGCTCTAACGGTTAGAGTCTAACCACTGAGCACACCGGCCTGGGCTAACATAATATTTTTGAGGTTCATCCACATTACAGTGTGTATTAGTGCATTTCCTTTCATTGTTGGGTAGTATTCATCAAAGGATATACAAGATTTGATTTATCCATTCAGCCATTGATGCACATCTGGGTTATTTCCTCCTTTGGGCTTTATGAATAATGCTACTATGACTTCGAGTGTTGAAGTTTTTGTGTAAATATTTATTTTTATTTCTCTTGGGTAAAGAGTGAGTTGGCGTTCCATCACCTTTCTTTTTTTTCTTTCTTCCTTCTATATTTTTAAATTTATTTCAGAGAGAAAAGGAGAGGGAGAGAGAGAGCTAGAAACTTCAATGATGAAAATGATTAATCAGATTAATCAGCTGCCTCCTGCACGCCCCCAACTGGGGATTGAGCCCACAACCACAACCAGGGGAACAAAATTGAACCGTGACCTCCTGGTTCATAGGTCAATGCTCAACCATTGACTGCCTTTCTTTTTTTGTTTTATTTATTTATTTATTTATTTATTTATTTATTTATTTATAGAAGCATCAATTTGTTGTTCCACTTATTGATGCACTCATTGGTTGATTCTTATATGTGCCCTGATCTGGGATGGAACCCAAAACCTTGGTGTATTGGGAGGACTCTAACCAACTCACATGCCTTTCTTGATTCAAAGAAACCTAGCAGGGCTGGATCCAGGGAGCCCCATTTGCCTATTTATTTTCTTCTTGAGCATTTCAAGATATAGAAGACTTATCTGGAGAAGGGAAAGATGCAACAGCCCTTTGTTCCAACAACATCCCAGCCCCAGCCCCAGCCCTCAGTGTTTGTTGATGTCGAAGAGATGAACCCCTTAGAATGGAGGCAATTTAGGCAGCAGTACGCTGAGTAATGAGGCTGTGTTGATGAGGAAGTGAGCTGCATCACACTCAGTGTGGAAGCTGGCCAGGAGGTACAGAACAATAGGCACTGTGGGCAGAAGTAAACTGGAGGCAGCAGTCCACCAGTTCCCGGTGTGCCACTAGCGGAGCCTGTCCCTGGAAAGGGGTTTCAAAGGGTGTCCCTTTCACTGTATGTAGGAAGACACACATAGACTGCCAGCTTCAGAAGCCTACCAGCTTGGGGTGCAGCATTTGCTTCTATGCATAAAGATATTTTTTGAGGCTAAAGTAATTTCTTTGTACCTTGTGATCAAATCCCTCCAATATTTTCCCAAGAAGGTAAAATAAAACCTAAAATTCTCTGTACCTAGGTTGCAAGCTCAATCCCTGGCCCTGGTCGGGGGACATGCAGGGGGCAACCAATTGATGTGTCTCTCTTACATTGATGTTTCTCTCTCTCTCTCTGTCTCTCCCCCTCCATTCCGCTATATCTAAAAATCATAGGTCTGGCCGGCTTGGCTCAGTGGTTGAGCACTGACCTATGAACCAGGAGGTCACAGTTTGATTCCTGGTCAGGGCACATACCCAGGTTGTGGGTTCATGGGGCGTGCAGGAGGCAGCCTATTAATAATTCTCTCTCATCATTGATGTTTCTCTCTCTCTCTCTCTTCCTCTCTGAAATCAATAAAAATATATTTTTAAAAAATCAATGGAAAAATATCCTTGGGTGAGGATTAACAAAACAAACAAAGCCCTAAAATTCTTATAAGGCACTATGATGGGTCCTCAATGGATCCCTCTAGCATTACCACTCTCCCCACTCTTACTCCTTCATCCCAAACTCAGATGTTTGCAATAACTTGCACCCACCTCATATATAGGCCTATTTCTATTTATCTTTTTTTAAAAATATATTTTATTGATTTTTTACAGAGAGGAAGGGAGAGGGATAGAGAGTTAGGAACATCGATGAGAGAGACATCGATCAGCTGCCTCCTGCACACCCCCTACTGTGGATATGCCCGCAACCAAGGTACATGCCCTTGACCAGAATTGAACCTGGGACCCTTGAGTCCGCAGGCCGATGCTCTATCCACTAAGCCAAACCGGCTAGGGCTCTATTTATCTTTTAAAATGTTTTTCTTAATTGATTTTAAAGAAATAGAGAAGAGAGAGAGAAAAAAAGAGAGAAAGAAACACCGACTTGTTATTCCACCCATTGATGCAGTCATTGGTTCATTCTTGGATTCTTCCTCACCAGGGATTGAACCTGCAACCTTGAAATATTGGGACGACACTCTAACCAATGGAGCTGCCCCACCAGGGCTCCATTTATCTTTGAAGTCTCTGGTGAAACCACCTCCTCCAGAAAGCTCTCCTGGTCCCTAGGATAGACGAAGTCTCCCTCAGTATTCAACTTTTTCTTAAACACTCTGGCTTTTTTTTTTTAAACCCTCACCTGAGGATATTTTTCCATTGGTTTTTAGAGAGAGTAGAAGAGAGAGGGAAAGACAAAAATCAATGTGAGAGAAACACATCGATTGGTTGCCTCCTGCACATGCCCTGACCACGACCCAGGCCAGGGAGGAGCCTGCAACCAAGGTACGTGTCCTTGACCAGAATCGAACCCAGGGACCCTTCGGTCCACAGGCCGACACTCTGTCCACTGAGCCAAGCCGGCTAGGGGCAACACTCTGGCTTTTTCTTTTTTTCTTTTTATTTGTTAAATGTATTTTTATTGATTTCAGAGAGGAAGGGAGAGGGAGAGAAAGATAGAAATATCAACGATGAGAATCATTGATCAGCTGCCTCCTGCAGCATGTGCCCTTGACAGGAATCAAACCCGGGACCTTTCAGTCCTCAGGCTGACGCTCTATCCACTGAGCCAACCCAGCTAGGGCAACACTCTGGCTTTTTCACTCTGAGTTCTTACCAGGTGAAAATTCTGAGATGTCTTAAATTACAGTAGTCCAGAGGGTGGAAGGAAGAGACCAAAGGGGTTCATCAGAAAACAACTGCAGTGCAAAACAAAGGATTACACATATTCCTTAGGGCAGTGGTTCTCAACCTTCTGGCCCTTTAAATACATTTCCTCATGTTGTGACCCAACCATAAAATTATTTTCGTTGCTACTTCATAACTGTAATGTTGCTACTGTTATGAATCGTAATGTAAATATCTGATATGCAGGATGGTCTTAGGCGACCCCTGTGAAAGGGTCCTTCGACCGCCAAAGGGGTTGCGACCCACAGGATGAGAACCGCTGCCTTAGTGTATGTTGAAATTATTAAATTAACTTCCAGGCAGATATTTCTCAGATTAGCTAAAAAGAGAGAACAGCCCTTACAACCCCAGGAGCCTCTGCTTCATGTTTACATATGAGCTTTAAGTACTCTGCTGCGTCTATCCTAGAACTAGCCCCTAGCTCCACTTCACTTTCTCCCACCCCTTTGCCTATAACTAATGTAAATTCTTTTTTTAAAAAAATATACTTTTATTGTTTTCAGAGAGGAAGGGAGAGAGAGATAGAAACATCAATGATGAGAATCATTGATCGGCCGCCTTCTGTACGTCCACACTGGGGATTGAGCCCAGTATTGATTGAACCGTGACCTCCTGTTCACAGGTCGACGCTCAACCACTGAGCCATGCCAGCTGGGCAACTAATGTAAGTTCTTTCATCAGACCACTTACATCTTTCTTTCCCCTTCTCCCTACTTGATGTGTAAAAATGCTTGCAAGCTCCAAGATGTATGGTCATGTCTTTCCTACCAAGCTATGCTGCTGGTGGTTTAGACTCCATACCCCAAAATGGGTCTCTTCTTCCTTTTCCTTTCCTACTCCTTCTCCTTCTTCTTTCTCCTCCTTCTCCTAATTCTTCTAGTTATTATTATTTTATTATTATTATTATTACTACTACTAGCTATGGCCTTTTAAAAAAAGATTTTTAAAAAATGATTTTTAGAGAGAAAGGAAGAAAGAGAAACATCCATCGGCTGCCTCCTGCACGCCCCCTACCGGGGGTCGAGCCTCCAACCAGGGCGTGTGCCCGGACTGGGAATCAAACAGGCAACCTTTTCGTGCTCCAGAAGATGCCCAACCACACAGGCCAAAGCTAAACTATTTCTGTTAAAAAGACATTCAGCCGTGGAAGTTAAGTTCTTTTATTTAACATTGAGTTCTTGGAGGGCAGGCTAACAATACCAATGCTGCCAGTATTTCCTAATGCCAAGCACAGTTGCCAGCGCCTTAGGCGTGAAGTTATTTAATCCTCGTGCCCTTATCAGATCAGTACATTATGAGTTCCATTTTACAGGTGGGTAGACTGAGACAGAGAGCCATTAAATAACTTGGTCACGCAGTGCTCAAAACATTTTTCTCGAATGAATCAATATAGATTGGGTACTTTGTAGCTCTGGCACATGGTGTTCAATAAACTTTTTCTAAGTGTTTTGTGCATTTTCTGCATTTTCTAAGAATCCACTCCATGGTCCGCTCCTTCTCCTAAGCCCCGCCCCCTGGGGTAGGCCAAGGCACCTCCCTATTTTGCACTTCCTCTCTTACGATATCCAATGGCGGACAGATGCTTAAGCCACGCCTTCTGTGGTAGTCAATGGCCGCTCCCTACCTGGAGAGACTTCTTGTTTGGCATCCAACGGCCTGCAACTCTCTTTTAAGCCCCGCCTCTGGGAGTGGAGGCTATCAAAGAACCCGCCGCATACATTGATTGGGCCTTCTTTTCTGTGGTATCCAATGGCTTGCCTCCCACATAAAGCCCCTCCTACTATGGCGGCCCATGGCCCGCCCCTCTACCCTAAGCTCCGCCCCTAAGAAGTCTGGCAGCTCTCCACCCGGCTCCTGACCGCCTCCGTTTCCCTCCTTCCCCCTTTGCCCTTTCACCTCCCATAACCTCCTCTCCCTTCAATTAGGCCTCTGGGTCACGCCCCTCGGCTCTACCCGTTATCCAATCCCGTTAACGTGTTCTCCAACCCCCTCTTCTCATTGGTCTCTGCGCTCCTCTATCCCGGCACGTGGTTCTGAGCGACCTTGTCTCCCGCCGGTGACGGCAGGAAGGTGGGACATCCGGCGGCAGCGCGCAGTCCAATAAGCACGCGCCGGCCGCTGCCCAAGCGACCGTCTCCGCCCCCTTGGTTCCCTGCTCCCGCCCCCGGCTTCGCCTCCCGCTGCCGCCTCCACCGCTGCCCCGGCTGCCGCCGCTGCCGCTGCTTCCCGCGGCCTGGGCTTCCCGCCGCCAGCATGCCGCACGCCTTCAAGCCCGGGGACTTGGTGTTTGCCAAGATGAAGGGCTACCCGCACTGGCCGGCCCGGGTGAGGCCGCGCGGGAGATGTGCCAGGCGGAGGGTGGGGGGGTTGGGGGGTGGGGCAGTAGACGGCCAGGGCCGGAGAGATTCGTGCGCCCGGGTTCTGGGGGGGGTCCCTGGTCCGAGGAACCCGCGTTCTTGGAAGTCTGGGGGTCCCGGGCCTGAAATACCACACGCCTGGTGTCTGGGAGCTGGGGGCCTGGGAAGCCTCGGGCCTTGTGCACGCGAGAGGTCTGGGGGACCCTGATTCTGGGGCACACACGCGCCGGGGGTCTGGGGAGGTCCCAGGCCTGAGGGACTCGCGCGCCGTGTTTTTTTGGGCCCCCGGACCTGAGGAAAGCAAGCCGCGGTTCTGGGGGTCCCGGGCTGAGGTACCTGTGCTTCGGGGAGTCCCAGAGCCGAGGGATGTTGCGTTTGAGCGATCTGGGCCCTGAGCGGGCATGGTTCGAGTTGGAGGGAGATCCGTGAGTCTGCGGGGAACTGAGGAACGTGGGATTTGAGGAGAGTGATCAAATTGATGGAAAGGGGACGTCCCGCTGAAGGACTTCCTGGGGGACGCCTTGAGAAGCCAAGTTCTGAGGGCTCTGGGGCCATGTGTGAGGGTGGCTAGGGATGAGGGGTGCAGTAAGGGAGGAAGGCTTGAGAGTCAGGGCTGAGGGAGGCGAGGGCTGGAAACAGGGCTGGAGGCTCTCTTCATAAGGTCACTGGAGCTGAGAGGACTTGATCGGATCATGTCTGGGACATTAGAGGTTGGAGTAAGACTTGCTTGGGGAGATGCTCCCCCACTCCCAGAGCCTGGTGGAGGAAGCTGGAGGGAGGGCTTGGGGTGTGGTAGTCCTCCCAAGGTGCTTGAATCAGAGACCAGCCCCTTGCAAAGGGGGATCGGTTCCAAAAGAGAGCCTATGAGGGAAGGGGGCTGGGCCAAGGGGACTTTGGGGACCCCCTTTGCAGGAAGCTGTGATCCAAAGAACCCTCGTGGTCTAAGGATTCCATCCAGGTCTGAAAGGCATCCTGAGCCCAGGACCCCTTACCAGGTCTGCAGAGTGAAGTTCCAGGCACTCTTCAGGGCAGGTCCCTGTGGAAGGGGATCTGGAGGTTATGGTCAACCCCAGGTCTTAGGGCCAAAGTTGCCCCTGGGCTGAGATTGGTGGAATATGCTTGGTAGGACTGAAGGAATTTGGGGGTTGGGAGGACGAGGCTCAGGCAGCAGCCGGGGACAGTGAAAGGATGAGGCGGAAGATTTGACTAGAATAGAAGGAGTGCAGGAGTTGCCAGAACACTGCTGTGAGACGGCTGGAGTTTTCAGACTGGACCTTCCCTCCCTGTGGGTGGAAGTAAGCAGACGGTCAGCACTTGGGGCTGGGGGTTGGGGTGCAGGGAGGCCACCATAGGATGTCAGGAGAGGCTCGGGGACCACTGCCCAGAGACCAGTCTGGAGCTGGTGCTGTTACTAGGATGTCTGGGCTGTGAGCTCGGAGGCGGGACCTGGGTGAGGCCAGAGCAGAAGATGGCCTGGAAAGCATGTTGGGCTGGGCCTCAGCTCAGGGTGATGGAGTTTGGGGATGCTTCTGTGTGGGAGTGTGATGCTTGAGATGGATGCCAGAGATCCGCAACCCAGGGCCAAGGATTTGAAAAGTAGCCTATAAAACAGGAAGGAAGCTGAGTGAGGGGAGCAGGGAAGATCTCAGCAGCCCCGGGGTATTGAAGAGAATGTTAAGGAATTAACGGGGACCAAAGAACTCATTTTAACCTGATTTGCTCACTGTTATTTTCTTGGGGGGCACCAGAGCAATGAAACTTTATGGGCACTTCCCTTCTTTCCGGAGTACCAGCTTCTCCCTCTCCAACCCCCTTCCAGCTGGCTCTCTTCAGCCCTGAACATTTCCAAGCACCTGATTGGAAGTGAAGGGGCTGCTAACCTCCTGTGGGATGTGACTGACAGCTGCTAGAGCCCATGGGCCTGTAGGGGAGGGTGGGACTTCCTGGATGCTCTGGGCCTGTCTCCTGCAGCCCACCCCCCACCCTCTGCATCCTTGGAGCTGCCTGCTGCAGCCTCTGGGAGACCAACCACCCCAACACCCGATCCCCTCTTTGAGGGAGGGATTCTTGTGGGAGGGTCCTGGTAGTTCATAGAAGCTGAGCTTGGCCCCACCCCCTGCTGATCAGAGGACTATTTTTGGCTTTGCTCAGGTACCTATCTTGGGGGCAACCCTGTGTGTGGAGGAGGGGATAAATATGCAATTGGGGGGCGGGGTACACAGGAATGCAGATCCCTAACTGGAAGGTGATGCATCTTCCTAGGTTGAAGGCTTCCCTTCTCCCAGCATGCTTTCCCTTAAGTAACTTGGCTAATTTCTGGGTTAGTGGGTGAAGTTGCCCTGCCCCTCAGCTACCCCCTTACTGGCCTCTCACTGCAGATTGATGACATTGCTGATGGTGCTGTGAAGCCCCCACCCAACAAGTACCCCATCTTCTTCTTTGGTACACACGAAACGTAAGTGTCCCTCACTGGGCTTGATTTCCCCCAGGGGTGCCTCCCAGGGTGGCCTGGCTCACCTAGGACTGGCGGTGGTTTCTCTCTCCAGAGCTTTCCTGGGACCCAAGGACCTATTTCCCTACGACAAGTGGAAAGATAAGTACGGGAAACCCAACAAGAGGAAAGGCTTCAATGAGGGACTGTGGGAGATCCAGAACAATCCCCACGCCAGTTACAGTGCCCCTCTGGTGAGTACCTGTGGGTTGGGGACAGTTGGCATGGGGTCTGCAGAGCCAAATCAAGTGGTGCTCACGTGCACTGGAGACTAGAAGTAGCCTTAGCTTGTCTCATAGAAAAAGGAGAGGCCTCTGGGACAGGGCTTCTCCCTCTTGGTGCTACTGACAATCTGGGCTGGATAATTCTGTGTGTGTGTGGGGGCGGGGGGGGGTGGCGACTTGGGCACTGTAGAGTGTTAGGCAGCATTCCTGGCCCCCAACCACTCGGTGCCAGGAGCATCCTTCCTCAAAGGCTCACATATTAGGATGGTAACAACTAGCAGGCTTTTCTTCTAAGGGGCTCTTCTTCCCATAATTAAAAGTCTAAACACCATGAGATCATCCTCTGGTAAAATATCCAGATTTCTGATTCCGTCAACTGCCCAACGATCCCTAAAATGTAATAATATTCCCAAAGTTTAACATATCCATATGTTTTTCAGACTGGACCTTATGGAAAAGATTAAACATGTGAAAATGTTTTGGTTCCGTACGCGCCATAAAACTTAGTTCTCTAGTTAACGGCTAGCAGAGCAATGGGCGAGTTTGCGAGCGCGGGTCGAAGGTGAAGCAGAGAGACTCTGAGCATAGTGTATAGTCGATGTGTTGTAACTTTATTGTTAAGATATCGCTCACCAGCTCGAGAC